ACCTGTGTTGCTCAAGAGTCAACTGTATATTGTTTTGGGGTTCATCCATGTTAGAGCATGTATCAGTACTTGATTTTTATGACCAAATAATATTCCACTGCACGAATATACCATGTTTTACTTATCCATCAGTCAACTGAAAGATATTTGGATTGTTTCTGCTTAGGGATATTATGAATAAGGCTGCTATGAACATTTATGTACAAGTTTTTGTATAGACATGTTTTCATTTCTCTTGGGTATTATGAGTGTAATTGCTGGGTCAAATGGTAGCTCTGTGTTTAACCTTTTAAAGAACTGTCTGACTTCTTTTCAAAGCACCTGCACCATTTTATATTTTCACTGCAGTATATGAGAGTTCCAATTCTCCGTATTCTTACCAACACTTATTAAAAATAGATAAAACTGAAGAGCCAATTTTTTTCTTTTTTTCTAATTTCTGACTAAGAGCTCTCCTAGTTATGATCAATTATTTGTCTCTTATCTGCCTCAGCACCTGGGTGGCTCAGTTGTTAAGCAACCAACTCCATTTCAATTCAGGTCTTGTTCTTAGGTCGTGAGTTCAAGCCCCGTGTTGGGCTCCACTCTGGCATGTAGCCAATAAATGAATGACTGAATGAATGCTGGGCATGGAGCCTACTAATAAATGAATGAATGGTATGGTATGGCAATTTGGAAAGGCTGATAGGTGTCAAAGTGCATAAAATTTTCCTGGAAAAAATAGTTTAATACCTTCTTAGCTATGATTGGATAATTAAAATAATTCTTCCTTTTCAATTAAAACAAATTTGAATGGTTTCTATTTAGGGAAAAAATTTTGTCCTAGTTATAAAATTTGCATTAACAATTAAGTTTTTCAGCTCTAAGGCAAACCTAGAAAAAAATAGCCTGTCTTTTAGTGTTCCACCTTTCTCCTTTTTGTTCTCTCCTGTTCTCTGAATTATAATCTTGTATGTAAATATTATATACTAGCCATTCAGTTTTTTTTTTTTAAGATTTTATCTATCTATTTGTCAGAGAGAGAGCACAAGCAGGGGAAGCAGCAGGCAGAGGGAGAAGCAGGCTTCCCGCTGAGCAAGGAGCCCAAAGCGGGACTCGATCCCAAGACCCTGGGATCATGACCTGAGCCAAAGGCAACCGCTTAACCGAGCCACCCAAGCATCCCAACAATTCAGTTTTAAAAATTTAATAGAATTAAAGAGTTTTAGAGCTTAAAGTTCCTTCAGATATATCAACAAACTTTAACAGTCTTATTTTGCAGATTATTTTTTTTAATTTCTATTTTTTTTTGTTTTAATCTTTTTTATTCAGTAAACATCATATACTTATTGAGTACAAACAGACATAAATTAGTACATTTGAATTCATTAGGGTTTATTGTGATTCTAATCACAATAATTGATCTTGGCTCATTTCTTTTTTTTGGTTGTTGTTGTTGTAGATAATTTTTTAAAGACCTATTAATATATGACAGTTTGTTTTGTATTTGCCATAAGAGTTGCCTGAAGTGATTGATATAATGCATATTCTACTTTTTAATTGTAATAGTCATGATTTATTTACAAATCTGTGGCTATTTTCTTTTTCTTTTTTTTTTTTTTTTAAAGATTTTATTTATTTATTTGAGAGAGAATGAGAGAGAGCACATGAGAGGGGGGAGGGTCAGAGGGAGAAGCAGACTCCCTGCCGAGCAGGGAGCCCGATGTGGGACTCGCTCCAGGGACTCCGGGATCATGACCTGAGCCGAAGGCAGTCGCTTAACCAACTGAGCCACCCAGGCGCCCTCTGTGGCTATTTTCATTGTCCATAAGTTTTTGAAGTTCTTAGAATTTAAAAAGTCAGTAGATAGACTGAATTCTTTTCTATATAATGAGAATTTCTTTGAGGGTAAGTGTATGTTGAACCAATTTCTTTGTTATTTCTCAAACTTGCCTTCTTAAATAGATTTTATGGAATATATTTTGGAATGACCAACTTAATGATCTTCCTCAAGTAAAGTGAGAGGTATCCATCCAGATTTTTTTTTAAAGATTTTATTTATTTATTTGAGAGAGAATGAGAGAGAGCATTAAGGGGGGGAGGGTCAGAGAGAGAAGCAGGCTTCCCACTGAGCAGGGAGCCTAATGCGGGACTCGATCCTGGGACTCCAGGATCATGACCTGAGCTGAAAGCAGTTGCTTAACCAACTGAGCCACCCAGGTGCTCCAAGATTTTAAATATTAAAAACATATTGTACTGACAGTTGCTATTTCAAGATCAAGGAATCAAAGATGAAATGCTATCTGTTTTCAGATGACAGAAAACAGTATATCATTGGATTAAATTGCATTAAGTATCAACAATTGTGCAAATTCATGACACATTTTACCTGGTTTTACATCCTTAGGATATTTATGTCTTCTTCTAAACTGCTTATTCAGTAGAAAAATATAAAGAGATTAGTATACTATTCTGAACATTGTCAACTTTATAATAGTCCTATCTTATCTCTGAATACTTGTTAGAAGGTTTTCATACTTCCTAGCACTGATGAGAGACTGTTTTTCAAAAAGCAAATTATAACAGCCAACCCTTGAGGCACTCAAAGTAAAAAAAACTTTAGATTAATGATGGCCCTACTTTTTTTTTTTAACCTAGTAACATGGTGTTACAGAGAATTTTTCTTTTTATTAATCAGGGTACCTTGATCGCTGTATAATACACAATGAGGTATTTTATCAATTAGTGATTTTCTTAGTGTGTTCCAGCTGCTATAACAAAATGCCACAGACTTTGTAGTTTATAAACAACAAAAATTTGTTTCTCACAGTGCTGGAGGCTGGAAGCCCCAAGATCAGGTTGGATGACGGCCCTCTTCCTGGTTGGTAGGCAGGGTCTTCTGTCTGTGTCTCATATGGTGGAAGGAGCAAGGTGGCTCTGTGGGATCCCTTTTATAAGAGCACTCATCTCATTCTTGAAAGCTCCATGCTCATGACGGAATCACCTCCCACAGGGCCCATTTCATAATACCATCATCTTCGGGGAATAGGAGTTCAACATATGAGTTTTGAGGGAGCACAAACATTTATACCATAGCCGTGATAAAATTTTATCTTATGATCTTAATTAAGTTTATTATTATTTTTTTTTGTAAAGATTTTGTTTATTTATTTGACAGAGAGAGAGCGAGAGCAGGAACACAAGCAGGGGGAGTGGGAGAGGGAGAAGCAGGCTTCCTGCTGAGCAGGGAGCCCGATGTGGGACTCGATCCCAGGACCCTGGGATCGTGACCTGAGCCGAAGGCAGATGCTTAACGACTGAGCCACCCAGGCGCCCAATTAAGTTTATTTCTAAAAAAGGTAAGAGTGATGGGGCACCTGGGTGGCTCAGTCGGTTAAGTGTGGGACTCTTGATTTCTGCTCAGGTCACGATCTCAGGGTCCTGGGATCAGCCCCTGTCGGGCTCTGAGCTCAGCAGGGAGTCTCCTCTTCCTCTCTCTCTGCCCTTCCCCCCCACCTGTGTGCATTCTCTCTTTCAAATAAATACAATCTTTATAAAAAAATCAGATAAGGTTGAAATTCTGAGGAAATAAACCATCTTATAAAAATTAGTTTCTGTTCTCTAGAGAATTTGGGGTAACGTCCTGTTGTTTGCCTACATTATAATAACTGGTCCGCATTGCATAGAACTCTGCATGGAATGAGTGGGTAAAACAGGTCAATTTAAATCATAATAATCTCTAGTACTGGCTTTTGTCCTTTTATTTCAGTTCTTATGTTTATTGTTAACTTCTTTCTTTGCATTTACTATTTGATTTTCTAGTTCTTAAAAAACGCTTCATTCAATTTCATGTTTTTAAAATAAATACGTCTTAAACTATAAGGATCTATCTAACTTTACTGAATCCCCTACTTTGCATTGTGGGTGCTTTTCTTACCATTCATATCTAAAGATTTCATGAATTCTGTTTTTTCTCTTTTAGCTATGTGTTCTTTGTTTTTTCTAGTTTCATTGAGATGTAATTGACATGAAACCCATGTGTTCTTTAAGAATATAATCTTCAGTGTGGAGTTTGTTTGCTGGGTTTTTTTTACCCCACTAACTTTGTATTGTTTTTTAATCTAAAGTTACATTGTTGTTAGGATATGTGCTTAATCTGATACTCTTTGAAATTTGTTGAAAATCCTTTTATAATCCAGCACATGGTTATTTTTGTAAATGTTCTCTTGTGCTTGTATGTTTTCTACTTGTTAGCTACCTGAGTCTCTGTTTATATATGTATTTGATTCAGTTTTATCAGTGATGATCAAATTTTTAAATGGCTTAGCTGCCTATAGACTAGGTAAAATGATCTTAAAGAATCTTCGATAAAAAATCTTTAGTTGGTGCGCCCGGGTGGCTCAGTCAGTTAAGTGTCCGACTCTTGATCTCAGCTCAGGTCTTGATCTCAGGGTTATGAGTTCAAGCCCTGCATTGGGCTCCACTCTGGGCATGGAGCCTACCTAAAAAAAAAATATATATATATATATATATATATCTTTAAGTGAGGATATTAAGAAATTTCACTTTAGGTTTAAGGAGACAACTTAAAATTTATCAACTTTGACAGAAGTCACTTTTTTCTGCTTTTGAAACCCCAAGATAGCGATCACAGAAGTCGTAGCAGCCCCAGCGGCAGCTGTAGTGTTAGCAGTACTGGAAACGCTAACAGCAGCAGCGGCGGTTCATTCTTATGGAGCTCTTACTATATGCCAGGCATCTTGCAGAGCTATCTAAATCGGTCAATGAATTTAACCCAATAACAACTCTGTGACGTATTCTTGTTTTTCTCCACTTGATCTTAGCCAAAAGGCCGAGAAGCGATCTTGTTTTTCTCATTTTATAGATGAGAAAAGTAAAATGCAGAAAGGTTAATTTGCTTGCTTTAGTCACATTGTCGTCACATTCTCTTTCAACAAACCAAGGTAAGTTTGGTTCATTTGGACACATAACAAGTTCATTTTTTTCTTTCTCCTTTTCAGTTATTAGAAAAGTTAAAAGAACGTTGGCTCTACACTGGTTTATGGCATAATCTAGAGTTGGTGAAGACAGTCATTGTAGAACCTCAGGGAGGAGAAAAAACTGATTTTGATGAATTACTGCAGGTGTACTATGATGCAATCAAGTACAAAGGAGAGAAAGGTAAATGAAAATTATTTGATGGTCAATGAAAAAATTTTTATCATAAAGTAAGTTGGTGCTGTTAGAATTTTGTTTATGTTATCTTTTTAAATGAATTGCACTTAAGAGAAAAATTATACTTTATAATCTGGATGTAAAGAAAATAAGTTGAAGAAATTCTTTTATTTGGAGCTCTTCTCCTATGAATATTTTCATTTGGAGATGCCAGTTCAACTTTAACAAACAGCATATATTCAGGTAAGGAAGATATTTAGTAAAGTCTTCCTTATACTACCTAAAATGTTTTGTGAAAGAGGGTGGATGGAGTATGCACAAATATCTTCCTTACTAGCCAGATGAACCCTACATTTTGATGCAAATAATGTACTTTATGCTTACATTCTATTACATAAGGTAAATTTGAGTTTTCAAAACACAGCTAAAGTCTCAGGTTATCTGGGAGATACACAGTTTGTAAATTGGTTTGGTACCACAGAAATGTAATTTTGTGTCTGTTTTAAAACTTTATCTTGCCATAGTTTTTATTTTGATTCTTTTAAATTTGCTATGATTACTTAATTAGATCTTTTCAAAATGACAGCAGTAAGCAGTTTCAGGGAATTTTGGGTGTGCTTTTTAAAATCTTTATTTTTTGTTGTTTAAGATGGAGCCCTCTTGGTAGCAGTTTGTCGTGGTAAAGTGAGTGAGGGTCTGGATTTCTCAGATGACAATGCCCGTGCTGTCATAACAATAGGGATTCCTTTTCCAAACGTGAAAGATCTACAGGTAGGCCTTCAAAGCCTTAAGTTTTGTTTATCACAGAAGTTGTTGATTTTAAGTTTTTATTTAAATTCCAGTTAGTTAACATACAGTGTAATATTAGTTTCAGGTGCCGAAGTTCTTGGTCATTATGTAAAGTTAATCGTATGTTTTTTTTGTTCGTTTGTTTGTTTTTTGGTATCCTTAGATATTTTAATGCTTTGGTGACTCAGAATGAATGAGAAAGTTTTGGTAGACATCGATTTATTTTATTTTTAACTTATATTGTCTTTTGCTCAATAAGAGTGATTTTCGGTGGTGCCTGGGTGGCTCAGTCGTTAAGCGTCTGCCTTCAGCGCAGGTCATGATCCCAGGGTCCTGGGATCGAGCCCCGCATCAGGCTCCCTGCTCCACGGGAGGCCTGCTTCTCCCTCTGCTGCTCCCCTTGCTTGTATTCCCTCTCTCCCTGCCTCTCTGTCAAATAAATAAATAAAGTCTTTTTAAAAAAAGAGTGATTTTCAAAGTGATCCAAGACCAAGTGTCTAGATCAACACTTCCTGTGTAACAGTTGTAAATATAGTGTAACAGTTGTAAAATATAGTGGATTAAAACAACATTTATTAGGACTCACACATCAATTGATGGGGAGTAGTAGCTGGGGTTGGCTGAGCAGCTCTGCTGATTTCTGCTGGGCTCAGTCACCCTGCTATGGTTTCACCAATGTAGATTTGGCCCAACTGGGTCAGCTCTGCTCTACATGTATCTCATCCTTTGTATACCAGCAGACTAGCCAGAACATGTTACCATGTTTTATACTTTGGCAGAGATATAAGAGGGCAGGCTTGATTGAGCAAGCACTTTTCAAAGACCTACTTATATCATATCTACTAACCTATTGGCCAAAGCATGTCACGTGCCTAAGCCCAAAGTCAGGAGCAATAGGAGAGGTGTGGGTTTCAATCACACATGGCAAAGGGCTTAGAGTCAAGACTCCAAAAAGGAGTTTTGGCTTTTTTCATAACTAAAAGATATTTGTAAGGCATCCATTCAAAAGACTGATGTTCATAAGCTTTTAAGAGTATAGGTATGGGGCGCCTGGGTGGCTCAGATGGTTAAGCGTCTGCCTTCGGCTCAGGTCATGATCCCAGCGTCCTGGGATCGAGTCCCGCGTCGGGCTCCCTGCTCCTTGGGAGCCTGCTTCTCCCTCTGCCTCTCTCTCTCTCTCTCTGTCTTTCATGAATAAATAAATAAAATCTTTAAAAAAAAAAAAAAAGAGTATAGGTATGTAATTTTTATAATAATCAGGAAGGCCTTTTATCATTTGGAAATGACCAGAATATAGCCATCAATACCTGAAATACCTGAATACCTGAAATAAATCAGAGCACTATTATGGCTGATTTCTTAAAATTCATAAATGATCCAATAAGTTATTGAAATTATTTATTTGGGATAAAAAATACAAATCAAATTTATAAATATATTAAATTTATTTATGTATTAATTTAATTTATAATTATAAATTAAAATATAAAAGAAATAAAAAGTTTGATAATGAAGTCCACTTTATTTTTTTGTTTTTGCCTGTGTTTTTGGTGTCATATTTAGGAAACTATTGCCAAATCCAAGCCTTGCACATTTGCCCATTTTCTTCAAAGAGTTTCATAGTTTGAGCTCTTAAATTTAGATATTTGGTTCCATTTTGAGTAAATTTTGGGTATGATATAAAATAAGGGTCCATCTTTCTTTTTTTTTTTTAATTTTTTTTTTTTTAAGATTTTATTTATTTATTCATGAGAGACAGAGAGAGAGAGAGAGAGAGAGAGAAGCAGGCTCCCAAGGAGCAGGGAGCCCAATGCGGGACTCGATCCCAGGACCCTGGGATCATGACCTGAGCCGAAGGCAGACGCTTAACCATCTGAGCCACCCAGGCGCCCAAGGGTCCATCTTTCTTATATCTGAAATGAGTCTCTTGTTCACACCATATAGTTAGAGCATGTTTTTTTAATTCATTCAGCCAAATTCTGCCTTATAGTTGGAGAGTTTAATCTATTTACCAAGTAGTTACTGATAAGGAGGAACTTAGTTCTATTTAGCTGTTTTCTGTGTGTTTTCTGTGCTTTTTGTTCCTCAGTTGCTTCAATATTACTCTTTTTTGTATTTTTTCATTGAGTACTATTTTGATCCCCTTCTTTTCTTTTGTGTACATTTTTTGGTTATTTTCTTAATGTTACCCTGGGGATTACAAGTAACATCCTTAATCTCTGTCCTTCCCTTTTTATATTGTTACTGTCTGGATTGCATTTTTATACATTGTATGCCCATTAACATAATTTATAATTATTGTTTTATACATTTGCCTTTAAATCATATAGGAAAAAAATAATTACAAACTAAAAGTATAATAATACTGGCTTTTATATTTACCTACATAGTCCTCTTTACCAGTGTCCTTTATTACTTCCTAAAGCATATACTATACTGCCTTCATTATATTTTAGTGCTTATAAATATGTTCTATAATATGTTAGATGGTGTACGTCAAGGATTAGGATAGTTTCTTTGTGTCTCTATAATTAAAATAATGCCTTGGAATATAGTAGGTGTTCAATAAATGTTGATCTTTTAAAAAATAAAAATAAATGTTGATTTAATTAATGACTAAATATAAACCTATTACTTAATATTGCCATATTCTTGTTTTCTGTAAAATGAGATGATGTTAATACTCAGTCTATTATACAGAAATAAGTAGAAGTTATTTATATTGAAAACCTTAAATATTCTAGCTTTTGGAAATGAAACAATCTATTTCTACATGGTTTTCTCTCTTGTTTCATTTGAATTCATATTTTAAGGTTAAGATCAGTGTCCAAGTTAGAAAAGTGATTTGAGTGGGGAAAAAGAGCAATGGCATTAATTTTATGATACTAAAAGTTTTTTTCTTAAATTTGAGACACAGATTATGGAAGTAAAAATTAAAATACAGTTTAAAATACTAACTTAAGACTCTTGTAGTCTCAACTGCAGAGTTTGGCTTTTAGAGAAGCAGGAAAATGTATGTTAGAGCCAAAAATATGACTTCTTTGGCTGTGACCGGGATTTCCTCTTCCCACCTTGGGGACTAGAAAGTAGAGGTAGGAAAATTTCATTTTGGAGCCAAGTGTGACTTGTTTAGTTCAAGTCATAATTTATTGCGCATACCTCAGGGACCTGAAAATAAAGAAACCCACTATGAAATGTTGATAATGGGCCACTCTGAAGGGCAAGCATTAAGCTAACATTCCCGGTGAGGATTTTTTTCACTTCCACCTTTCCCAGATGCTTCTGATCATTCTATAAGGACATACTTAATCGTGTAATAGTTAAAAAGAAAACTTTCTGTGCACTAAACCATAATATTTGAGGGGGAGGAAAGTGAACCAAGGCCTTTATATGATTAGATGTTGGTGAAAAAGTATAACTAAAAGAAAAGTTGTTTTCTTTTAATGCATTTAAGTCACAGTATAACAAGGCTGCCATTTAATGGATGTCTAAAGCAAATCCTTTGGCCAATTAGTATGATCTACAAACTACAAAAGCCTTCAACTTTATAATTCAGGCATCTACATCTCAGATTGGTGGCATGGTCATAATTTGTGAGACATTATAAGGTATAATATTTAGATTTTAAAATTGCATCTTATTTATATTTCCTAGTATAGCTTGGTAATATATAGAAATATTTTCTTTTCATGGGTATTGTGCCTTTACTCCCCTGTGAAAAAAATAATAAAAATGGCAAATGGCTAAAAATTTTTGTACTTTAAAGATGTTCAGATAGTATGTTAGATTTTTATAATTGGTTTCATAAAATTTGATGGTAATATTCATAACAGAAGTGCTCTTACAGTGATTAAAATAACAAGATAATAAATTTTATATTTTGTATTTTTTTCTTTATTGATGTAGTATGTTGAGTTACTAAAATAGATTTTATTTGGAAACTTTAAAATTCAGAGGGTGATCTATCTTAGTATTGACATACAATAACTATTATTTTTGTTTGTTTAGGAAACTTCTCTTAGCTTTGAAGGTACTGAATTATTTGAGTATATTTAATCAATTTTGGAAAATTACATTCATGATTGAAAAATACAAGCATGTTAAATTATGTTATTGACTTTATAGCAGACATGTATAAATTTATAGCCTTCTCATGCATTCTTTTTTTTTTTTTTTAAAGATTTTATTTATTTATTTGAGACAGAGAGAATGAGAGAGAGAGAGCACATGAGAGGGGGGAGGGTCAGAGGCAGAAGCAGGCTCCCTGCCGAGCAGGGAGCCTGATGCGGGACTCGATCCCGGGACTCCAGGATCATGACCTGAGCCGAAGGCAGTCACTTAACCAACTGAGCCACCCAGGCGCCCGCCTTCTCATGCATTCTTGATATTTTATAAATTTCAGAAAAGGGCTGTTATCTTTGCTTACCCCAAAAGATAACAGCATTAATAAGACAGAATGCACATTAAACCACATTCAACCAGTGTTTTCAAGTGTCAAAATATTATTAGATGATGGCCATATATGAATGCTTAAATCTGGCATTTCTTTTTAAGGAGAATGATGTTGATTCTTCATTATTCTTGTTGCTTTGACAGCAGTGTGTGTATATTCATCAGTAGATAAATGAAGGCAGGAATGCAAGGGGCTATAGTATATCAAGACGAACTTGATTTCTGAAACAGAAACCATTCTTAATAATTTTAAGTAGACTTATATATTCCTTTTGTATCACTTTCATAATTGCGTTGATGATCTTAAGTGTTGTAGCATTCATTCATTCATATAATATGCTTTTACCAAGAGCCTAATTTGTACTAAATATAGTAGGTACAAAAATGAACACGATGCTATCTCTACACTACTGAAGTCTATAATTTAGTAAAGGACCTGAATGTGCAACAGAATGTTTTGGTGGGATTGAATCTGGGTATTCAGATGCTTAGAGAAAGTGAAATTGAGCAACACTTTTCACCTCTCATCC